AAGAAAATGAATATTGATAAAACTAAAGACAGTATAAACTTAGAAACAGATGTTCATAATATTGCTATACGATTTGGGAGGGGAGTTACTCCATCAGATAATGGTGATAAGGAAACTCAGGAAACTGTTAAACAAATAATGAAAAATTAGTATTTAAAGAGTAGATTTAACATAATTGCAACATTTAGTTTTAAAAGTTTAGTTTTATAATTTAGTATATATGGAGGAACATTTAGCGAACATTGACAGTAGTTTAGAGTTGTTGTTTCCAAGATTAGAAAAAGTGTTGGAGCAAAATGAAAACATACTGAAAATCTTAAAGAGCTTGAATATTAAACCTACATATGATAACAATAACAATTATCAAGCAAAAGAAGTAGATAGAGACAGTAGCGAATACAAAAATAAACGAAACATTTATGTTAAAAAACTGAATGAAAAAATCATAAAAGAACCTAAACAATCAAGTCTGGATTACTATCAAGTCAAGTATAAAGAAGATACCAAGAAATACGTTTAATCATTAACTAACAAAATTTCGTGTCTCAAAAGCGGTTTGTTTATTCCTGCTACTTTGTAAGTTTTATTACCCATAATATCATATTCAATTTTATCAATATTGAATATTTTATTAGACCATTTAGAGTTATACTCCTTTCTGTCGGTGTAATTACCCCTTTTCTTTTGGAACACTTTTACCTTGTCGTTCTCCTCTATTTTGGGATACTTTCTTTTGTTTTTTTCTCGTAGTTTAAGATTGACCTTTACATTTATTTCATTGTCGTCCTTGTGTGCTTCAGACGGTGTCGAGATGTGCTGTTATACTGTTTCAATGCTTGCGTTAGGGCATCGGTCCATTTCATGTTGTTAAACCTAACTCTATCGTGAATTTTGTTTTTCATCGTTCTAATAAAACGCTCGGCCACATTTGCGTGGGTCTTCGTGACGATGTGGTTTATTCCTTCACTGTTGAAGAAATCCTGAACTTGATTTTTAGTTGCAAACGCTCCGTCGTCATCAGAATACACGGACATCGGATAACCCATCTTTTTAAAGCTTGCTCTCAACGCCTTCAAAACGTGCTCTCCGTCTCTTTCCTCCATCGGTATTACATCTGCTAATTTACTGAAGATGTCAATCACGACTAAAGCATACTGTGGAACGTTCTTGTCTTTTGCTAAAGGTGACATATGCATTATGTCTATTTGATATTCATATCGTGCGAATGGAGCGGTATAGGAATTAGTACCTCTATAATTTTTGATTTGTTTATTTGGTTGTTTCTTTAAGAAAGACTTTACATCGTCTATTGTTATTGTTGGGTCTTCTTCCTTTGCCTTCTTGTGTGTCGCTTGTGTGCTTCCGAAACCCTCGTCTAAGTCGTAATAGATGTTGCTGATTATTTGGTCTTTTGTTAATCTCGCCATTATATTAAATTGTTAGAAAATATTTTTTCAATATAAACCCCGCCCCTTAACATAAAATAAAAACTACTTAAAGAAATATTAACTTATTATATTAAGTGAAAATATGACTGAAATAAGATTAGAGGACTTGAATTTAGAAAATGTCGGAGTGATTGCTGACTTATCAAACTTGGTGCTATCAGACGAAGAAGATGATGATAATGACAGTTATAAAAAGGAATTAGATGAAGAGTTAAACAAAATAAAGGATTTCATCAAAAGACACCCTTTGCCACCAGTTGATGAAAACGAAGAATTCTGGAAAGATGTCATTAGCAGGTTTAGGGATAATAGCGGATTAAACTTGATGGCGATATACTCATTTGTTAGGTTTGACATCATGAAAGAAATGTATGAAAACCTAACAGATGAAGACATCATAAAAGACTGTGGTAAAAAGTTAAACCGTGATGGAAAGTTTAATGCAATGATTATTAACCACTATATCTTATCAGGAGCGATACGGAAACTAAACAAAGAAGACAGTCTAGTAGATGGACAGATGCGAATTATTGAATTCTGGTGGGATGGAATAGGTGAATGGAAAGCGTGAGTGATTTAGTTTAATGATATTATTCAATTATAATATGATTAAACCTAGTTTTTATAATCTATCAACAAGGTTAAGACATTCAAATTAAACCTGAAACCCAGACCAGCCGACCAGCAACCCCTAGCCAAAACTACTTAAAGAGAAAACACCTTATATATAAAGAGAAAAATGAGTGAGGGTAAAATGTCAGAGAATAATTTTATGGTTAAGAATTGTGTGTGCTAGCTTACCTATGGAAACATTGTTAAACATCGCTTCTTATATGATTGGCAATGAAGGGTGGCAAAGACTAAAACAGTGTAAAGCATTAAGGGTCTTACAAAGGAAATGGAAACCGTCTATTTACACTGAACGAGTAGGAGAAAGTAGATATTATGCGTTGATTAACAATAAATGTTTGAAAGGTGATAAAGCACTTTCATATGCGTTGAAACCACCAAAAGAATTATTAAGAATGATGAAGTATGATGAAGAAATACAGGTTGGAATAGAAGTTAGTTCGAACATTATGTATCATAATAATATTTGCAGATGTCGTTCTTATTCAGCATCTAAACAGAATAAGATTTCAAGTAGAGCGTCATTACAATACCATATTGAACAAGCAGTTGAAGAAACCAAACAGACTATGAAACGACACGAAATCATTACTATCGAACATGTTATAATTGAAATTTATAGAAAACAGAAACAATGATTTCATGGTTTAATCATAATATTTAATTATAATATGATTAAACATTGTTTTATAATCTAACAAGAAGGTTAAGACATTTAAATTAAACCTGAAACCCAGACCAGCCGACCAGCAACCCCCTAGCCAAAACTACTTAAAGAAATATTACCTTATATATTAAGAGAAAAATGAACGGTGATGGAATCAATAATTATATCGATAAAAAATGCTATGATTGTTGTCACTTCAAAAAAGAAAATATGGAATTGTATAAATTGAATTTGCCTAATGAAATAGTGAATAATATTATTAATTATTCAATGGATGGTGAAGAAGACATATGTACAAATTGTAGAAATTGGAGATATTATCAAGAATTAATCAAATGTCTGTTGGGAATAAAAAGAATAAATAATAGAAATGTAGAAGATGATATTTTAATATTTCTAACTGTAAATAAAATACCACCTTACGATTATGTTAAACAGTTTCTTAAAATCAGTAAGAAAAATATGACATGATTTATGATATATTCTGGATGTTGGGTTATAGTCAAGAGAAAGGAGAAGATGTTAAAGAAAATATCAAATTATTTATTGAAAGTAAAAAGTTTAATGTTCAGAATACAGTGAGAGATGTTAATATTATTTTTAAAATGATGTATGAAAGAAGTAAGACAAACCAATTAGATTATCCTGAACTGAAATTATAATCATAATATAATAATAACATGTAAAATCTTATATGTTATAATTATACTGAACTTTTAACCTATAACACCCCCTTAAACTTATCTAAAGAAATAACCCCTTAAACATATAGAGACCAATGACAGACAAAAAACAATGTTCCAAATGTAAAGTCTTTCAATTGTTGGAAAAGTTCAACGAAAGAAGAAAACAATGTAATGTATGCTTGGAGAGCAAACGGCGGTATAGAGAAGCACACAAAGAACAAATACAGCAAAAGTCAAAGGAGTATTACGAAAACAACAAAGAACAAATAGCAGATAAGAATAAGACATATAGAGAGAATAACAAAGACGCTATACTAGAAAAGAAAAAGAATTATCGTGAAAACCATAAAGACGAAATAAAACAAAAAGCAAAAGACTATAGAGAGAAGAACAAAGAAGACATAAATGAAAAACAGAAAGACTATAACCAATTGAAAGTAGAATGTCCTTTATGTAAATGTATGGTAGGAAAATACAAAATGAAAAAACACCAACAAACAAGTAAGCACCAACTAAGAGTGAAAGGTCAAGAAAACAATAACGATACTGTGAGAGATTACATGGAAACAACAAGTGACTTTGAACAAGAATAGGAATAAACAAATGAACCACCAACACCCCAGAACTTAATAACTACTAAAAGGGCTAACTCTTTCAAATGAAAAAAATGTCGGCCCCCAGAAAATCCACCCCTAACACCCTACAACAAAATATAGGATGAAATCAAACAAGGGTGTTAAAACGTTGGATAACAACATTTGACCCAATAACCCCAACACTCCTCCCTCTTCCCCCCAGGCCCCCCCTTTTCTCCATTTTTTTTTTGGGGGGGGGGGGTAGAAGACCATGTTCCTTTTGAAGTGACCCCTGTCAAGTTCCATGTTTATTGGGGGGGGGGGGTATCATATATAAATGTGTGTATTCATATATGTATAGGTATATATAGATATATATATATATTTCTACATATATATATATATATCCGAGACATGGCAATGGGCAGCGTAGCAGCATACACACAACTAGCACCCCCTGCAAAATCACCTGGGACACAAATACCGCGTCATGTATAGCCGGATCTCGCTGGACAAACGGACAGGCCCCGTTTGATTTTCAAGTTGCAACGACCCGAAAGGTAGGGCAAAGGGGACTGAGGATTGACTTTTAACAGTCCACCATGACAAACACCTGGTAGCTCCCTGTTTAAAAGCAACTCTTGATACCCCCAGCTCCTTGGCTCCCTTCCAACTGCCAAAGATTGGAGTGAGTGAGACAAGGAGTGAGATACTCAGTTTTTGTTGGCAAAAACCTGCGCAACCCTGTCTGGGTGGTTGTCACAATGGCCCCTGAATCGAACCCCTCAGCACACCTTAAAAATGAAAACCCAAGCGGACGGCTGGGAACCGCCAAGTTGTGGACCTCATTTGGCAATGGGTCAAAGCCCGTACCCCCGGTGAACATCCCAATCCACACTAAAATAGACTAAAATGTGTGGTTGCACCTACCCCAAAATAGTACCATTGGATTTGACCCACAGTCATTTTTCCGCCTCCCTGCAGTGGCGGGTGCGGTTGCCGTAGTCGTTCACCAGGTCCTAACGGTGGCTGAGGTACAAAAAACCGTGAGGCAAGGGGCTGGCCATAGAGTTGGCTTGGAGCAATTGCCTGGACAGGAGCCAAGAGTCAGCAACCATATCCATGAAGCATGCTAGAGAAACAATGGATATTGGAGGTACGGGGCCTATCCAGTACTCAGGGTCTTATGGACCCTACAGGTTTGCGTACAATCTTTGTCGCGTGGGCCCAAAAGAGCCGTTCGCTTGAAAAAAACAGCTTGCTCCAAGGCCAACTATCAAGAACATACTGTGCATGGACAAAACCCAGTCCATCACTTTGAAACCATGGAAAGTTATGATTTGTTGGTATTTATCAATCCAAGGTTTCTCAGGTGGTGCGAGATTCTGTCCACCCACGGTATGGAGCACAACTGATGGAAAAGCTGTGCTTGTGCGCGGAAGTTGGTATAGGGTGTCTTCGCAAACTTGCGAGCTGACCTAAAGCAAGTCACTAGGGTGCGATGTGTGGGTCTGTCTTTATGTGGGAACATGGTTAGTCTCCTTTTGGTTTCCCTTTGATTTTATTCTTTTGTTAAAACAAATGCACCCGTTTAGATGGTAGTCTGCTCGGCTTCAGGGTTTTAAGGCGCACTATCGGCATTCATTCAGGGCTCTCCTCGGCTTTTGCCGGTCTCACCGTTCCCACAGGTTTGCAACGCGCAGTTCACAACCTGCGCCGCCCTTGCTGACCGTTCCAAGCAAATTCACCGTGCAGATGGTCAGTGTTCACCCTCGAACTCGGGCTTGAACCCGTGATTCGCCAGCGGGAAATCTTTTCCCAGCCGCTCTTTTCCCAGAACCTTTCCCAGCGGGAAATCTTTTTGTAGACCCCACCCCAAAATGGTGGTGTACTGCCATGTGATTAAGCCCCTTGGAAACATAAGTTTGCTTCCAGTAGCGATAGATTCCCTTTAAAACCAACAGGGAAAAGCAAAACATATTCTTAAGCAATTGGATGTGTACCTTTCGGTTTCCCGTCCCCCCGCAAACTGACGTCGGGCACCACGAGTCAGCCTGCCAAGCCCTGCTGCCATTTTCGGCTTTGAGGCCGCGGCGAAAGAAGCTTCCGCGTGCAGGAGCCAGCCTCGGATCGATCCAGGTGCTTGCACGGATCTACGCGCGTCTGTTTCTTAGGGGACCGGCCAAAGTGGCCTCTGGTTCCCTCTTGGTGTCCCTTTAGAACGGCCAACAAAGGGGTACCCTCAAAGAAAGGCACACCATCTGCCATCTACCCATCCCTTTCTGGTTTCCCTTTGGGTAAATTACAAATCATGGGCTGTTTAGCAACCATGAGCCAAACCCCGCGTGCAAGAAAATGGTTCCACGTTGGTCCCCAAACCAACTGGGCACCGATGATGGTTCCTTTCCAAAACAGGAAACATCTTCGAAACAAGCTGAAACCAAGTCCTTATAGGTTCAACACCGATCGCGCTTCCCATCTGGCACCAACATTGCCCCCGAAATCTGCACGTGTTTGCCTACCCAGGAAGTGGGTAGGCGCACCGAATGTAGGGCCCAAATGCCTCACAGGGGTCTGAGGGCCCGCCTTGCACATCGCTGGTACCATCACCCGTCTTCTTCAGCAGCAAGAGCCTGACCAAAAGCGAGGTGAACTTGAAGCATGGGCTCCAATCCAATTTCCAGCCAGTCAGCAAGCCCAGGAAAACAGTCACATACCTGTTTCAGGGCTCACATGCCCAATGCAGGGCACAACGGCCCAACACTGGCTGCAGCTGAGTTGCCTCTAATAAGGGAATGGTCGCGTTATTCAAAATGGGAAACGGAGCTTGCCAATCCTAATCTGTAACCCATAGTGGGATACCACTACAAGAAGGCAAACAACGAACCTGCTTGCCCCGTCCATTCCTGTTTGGTTGATTCCATGTTTGAACCCCCAACCCACCAAACAAAGGGATTTCGAGGGTTTCAGAACTTGGTGGTCCATAATCACCCCTATTGGGACACCGCAGCAAAGACTTCTTTCCTTTCGAAAATGTAGAACTCATCCTCCCAACTACCCTGCCAACCAGCATGGCATAACTGGGCGTACCTAACCAGAACAAAACTCAAATCTAATACGGGATCCGCAAGAAAAGGGCCGTTTTCTGGTGGTAAGCTCGTGTTGCCCCCAGGTGATATGCGGAGACAAAGCCCTGCAGCTATGCCAGGTGACTCTTGTGCAACTTGCAGGGCTCCTTGTATCAAGGACTGGAAAGCAAGGTGCGCCTCGTGGGACCCCAAACTGCCGCTTTAACAAGGTTGGCATGGCAATTGAAGTATGCCTCCTTTGCCTTAAGCATCACACGGATTGATTGAGCTCCCCTTGGGGTGATGATTCAATCTATCGAAACCTCACTTCCCATTCTTGCCTGCGCTTGTAGCGGGAGCCCAGCCAAAGAAGCCTCAGCATCAGCACGGGGCCATCAACTGGAGTCGACAAGCGCAAGCTTCGGAGAGTGCAGTTGGCAGCGCAGTGCCCGGGCAGCCCAAAGCAGTTGTGGCTCAGTGTTCAGGTCAGTGCTGCGGTACTTTTTCCACAAATGCCCTGCACGAGCCGGGCAAGCCGGCTGGAATGGCTTTTGCCCAAGCTGGGCAGCTGAGCACATGGGCCACCCTGATGCGGCAGTGGTGAGTGTTCCAGCGGCCGAAACGAGGTCTGCGAGCTGAAGTTGGCGAAAGGCCACGGCCTGCAAGTGCCATGCGCCGAGCGCAGGTTGCCGCGAAGACCAACTAGGTCCACCAGTAGAGAGGCTAGTAAGAAGGGTACCAACTTTTTTTGTGTCGTCAATTTTAGTACGGGAACCCTCCCCCAAGAAAGGGTGAGCAAGGGCACCACTGGGGACCTAGCCAAGAAAGCCAATGAATCCAACAAGACCACCGGTGAGGCCGAAGCTTCTTGGCCAATGACGGGCTGATGCGACGCGGGGAGGGCTTGGAGGCGGGAAGGGCGCAGCGGAAAAAAGGGCCGGAGTGGCTGGCATGACGTGTGGCATCGTCCGAACAAAAGGGAAGTGATCGTACGAGACTCACTTCCACGTTTGTTGCTGTGAAGGTCTTTGAGCCACACTCGAAACTTGGGCAAGTGAAGCTTGGTTGAGTCCCATGTCAACCATGCGGAAATTCATGGCGGTTGGATCCACTGCAATGCCGCTTCTTGCCAAACCTTGGCCAAGAAAAACAGCTCCAAGTGGCAGGGTTGGATCGGATCCATCCCTTGTTGGAACGGTGCAACTTACATCAAGTTGGAACGGTGCAACTTACATCAAATTCCGTCGATCTGGAACTCAGCTTGAGGCACACACACGCCGTGGAAGACTACATTCCGTTGAACGCAAAGTGCGCTTCCCTGTTCGGTGGAAGGGTGCCGCGCTGGCATAAGAACCACCATGTCCTCAAAAGACTCCTGGTAGCCCCTTAGCTCCCTCCTGAAAAAAGACACACACACACACATATAATTATATATATATATAAACAGTCATGTATTTGGATACCCCCAGCTGCTCAACGGCAGCCTTGCAAGCACCAGCTAGACTTCAACGCTCGACAAGAATGGAGAATCACCCCAACCAAGTTTCAGCTGCCATTTCACCGGCGCTTTGGACTGGTTTCGCGTTCCGGGGCCCGGTGGTTTCAAAACCAAACCCGCAGGAATCGCACGGGTTCGAATCCATGGGTTTGAGAGCTCTTTGCTGTTCCTTGGGGTTCCCTAGCTCAGTTGCCCCCTAGGGACCTGTTTATAAAAGGTGATCACCTTTTGGGACCTCTACTAAAAATAGACCAACAAGGGAAAACCAAAAGGTCAAAAGGTCGGCTTTGAACAACTGAGCTAGGCGTGGGGAGTGAGTTTCAGGGCACCCCCGCAAGGAATGCTTGGACAACCCCCCTCAAGAACTCGATCCATAGACCGGCGGATGTCCTGAGCCTCCATTTGCGCTCTTGCCCCCTGGAAGAATAAAACATATGCCCAGTAGTGATCGATTCCTTCCTTTTTAAAACCAACAGGGGAAAATTGAAAAATATGATCTAGCAAATGGAAGAAAACCAAAACCCAACTAAAAGTGATGAATCCCCACTAAAAGGGGACACTCCCCCAATAAAAATCATAAGTGATGAATTGAGCTCCCAGCATCAGCGTCGGGTAGATGGCCAAAGGGATGCCAGAACGCGGGTGCTTCTTCAGAAGCCACCAGCCCACGCAAATGACCTCAGTGGATCTCAGGCGGAAGCCACTGTAGCATGTAGCCACATCCTACTCCAAATGCCCACTGCTTTACTTTGCTTCTTGTTTTGTTTTTCAGTTTTCCAATTTTTCTAAATAATAATCTTTGATTAAGCAACAGAAACAACTTGAGCATGGTGTTTCCCGGGTGCCTTTCTTTGGAGGGTCAGGGGTGGACCTGATACCAAGTGTGAGTCTTCGGAGGTCACCGGCCCATGTTCTCTGGTTCCACACCAATTCCTCAAACTCAGCCATGGATCCCAGCCTTTGCCTTCCTTGGACCTCAATTGTAAGGGTATTTGACGCGAGACCCCGCAAAATGGGTCTTGGGACCCTAGGTTAAAAGGGAATGGAATCTCGGAACTCCAATCCTCTCAGGGGTTCGGAAGCCTTTTTGGAGATGGCTTCAAATACCACCTGTGGCGGAGAGAGAGACACACACACACACACACACACCACACAGGGCCGTATCAACTTGCATGACCTCTCGAAAGTGGGAATGTCCATGAATGCGCTGAACTCTGGGAACTGTTCGCGAGTTGGCTCTTGGTCCAGACTCCTGGGAACGAATTGAATGCTGCTTTTGGGCATCCACCCCGGCGGCCCGGCTGGCAAATGAAAGGAGTACGCGCCCACCTCCCTAACCCGACGAACTCCTACGCTGGCGGGAAATCACAAACTCATCCCAATGTCCGCGCGCGGTGCGTGTGTGGGTATCTGTGCTCGCAGTTGTCAGGAAACATATTGAGATTCATATATGCAACCTGTCTAATGAATCAGCCTGAGCCAAGCGGTCCCAAGGTAATCAGCTTGGGGGCAGACCGAACGAATCATTTGCTTCGCTTCGCAACCCACCCGAACCGTCTCGTGGAGGTCTTGGATTGGGTATCCTCGTGATGCCAAAGTAGGATTCCCATCCACTGCGTCGACGCTTCGAAGCGGGGTTCCCTTGGTGCAGAAATTGGTCCCACAACCCTGGTGAGGAACTTCCGCCAGAAAAAGCTGCCTCCTCAAACAGACTTTTGGGCGGCAGTGTCTGGCCATCTGCACAGAAAAAAGCACCCAAGGGACCTGGCAGTATCGGGAGCAATCGTCCGATTGCGCATCCTACTACAATGACATGTCAATCCTCTGGCATCTCGTCTAAAACTGGGCAAAACAAAGGGAAACTCAACAACGACATGGACATGGCATGCAAATCCATTGGACATTTCACTAATTAAATATGCGCAAAGAAGGGAAACCGTGGAGTGAAAACCAACAGTTGAAAGGGTGCATGCTGGGGCCGCCCGCTTTGCAGACCTTCTTCAGGATTTCGAAGCTTATGAGGTAACCATCCCGCGACAGAGTGGGGATGTCCTGACGTCAAATCAAGAATCAAACGCGGCCACCTCCTGTGAGACTCGATCACCAACTTCAGGACAATGTTGAGGGGTCTTCGTGTTGATGATACGCTTTTGGGTATGTTGTAAAGGGCTATGAAGCGCTTTTGACCCCCCCTTGTTGAGAATTCGTTGGGATCCTCGAACAACTTCCCCCCATGTTCGTTTCTCCGAAAAAGGGCAGTGGCGAAAGCAAAATGAAATAGCAAGATCACTTAAGATAACTTAAAGGGTTGCACCTTTTTCAGGAGGTGCCCTGATGATCCCAAGGGGGCTTGAAAGGCAACACCGGGCTGCTGCCGCAGATTTTGTAGCCAGAGACAAAAGGCACAGCTGGTCTCTGGCTTCTGACTAACCATCCGACACTAGAAAGATTGAAAGGTCACCCAGGAAGCATGTATCTGTCTGCAAGCTGAACGAGATATCCGCTTTGTGATTCCTTGAGGGAAACTGGAAACCAACACTCCGGCCGTGGAAAAGGAGGGAGAGCGCCATGTGTTGGCAGTTGACGTCAAATTCTACCTGCAACAACAAAAGAAACGGGACCACCGAAAAGGCAAGAGCAATCCACCCCCCCGGAAGAAAAACCGAATCACCTGGACCTTCAAACTCCGGGAACTTCCTAGATGTTTTAATTGGGAGCCCCCTGCGATTTTTTGATGTCCATTCGGTGGCAGAACAAATTCCGGCGTTCTCAGTCGCAAAGCAGCCTTGCGCGGTACTTGCCAATGCGGACCATCAAAACTACGAATTTTGTGGATTTGTCCGGTGGCAACAACTGCGAGCATTGCAAACCTTGGCTGCTGACTTTCAGATTTGTGTTCTTGCCTTTTCGGAGAAACCGTGCGACGTTTTCCTCTTGAATTCCCGGTGAACGTCCGAAACGACCGTGCTTATCTCTTCAGTACTTCAGGTCTTCGTCCATGGGGACCAAACAAAACAGGGGGGCCACTGAAATGGATGTTTGGCATTGCCCTCCTGTGCCCAAAAAGATGTTAGAACGCGTGTCCCAAAACGGCCTTCCCGAAAACATGAAGTCTAAAGACTCGGGCACGTGTTGGGGCACCTGACTTAGGGAAAGCCCCTCCCCCCAGCTCCTCCATCATGCTGGTCTTCAAATCCTGTATCGGCACCCTCGCCCTGCATTCCGGGCGTTCGTGTTCACTCTTCGGCAACCACGAAGAAACAAAAACGAAAGTGGCGAACATCCCCACTCAAACAACCACGCCCTGTCGGAGAATTGTTTGACATTCCCGGCTCATGAGTCCATAAGTAAGTGGGATCTAACATACCACCCACTTAGGGCGCTACTAAGTCTGGTGTTAGCCAATTCATAAGCGAGGTCATAGGTCTGCGTCTTCCCTGCAAAACCTGGAGTCTCATGCTTGTTGGACAGTTGAGCATGGTGGAATATGACGTGTGGTTGCTTCATGGCGCTCAAACATCTGCAACATCTGATTTGAGCAAACACCAGATTCCAGAGACCTTCATGATATCTAACTCGCTGTTTCGACAATAACGCTGCCTGTTCGCCTCGGCTGCTTAACCCTCCAGCTCAGGTGCTAAGTTCACTCGCCCGTTCGGGCCTGGAAATGAGGTCAACCACTCCCTGAGGCTAACAGCCGGAAGCTCCCAGAAGGCCTCTGGAACCACGTCTTAGGGGGTCCCTTCAAGAGCTCCACACCAGGAAAAACAAGCCGGTCAAAGCGGAAAGGACACAAGGAAGGAACCCCAAAGAACGCACAAAAGGAAACAACACAACAACCCACTGCTTCCATTTGCTTAAGCAGCCTTGAAAAGATGAGAAGATATGTCCAGTAGTGCATCGATTCCCTGAAAAAACAACAAGGGGGGGGAGTCAAGCAGCCTTAAAAAGATGAGAAGATATGTCGAGTAGTGCATTGATTCCCTGAAAAAACAACAAGAAGGGGGGGGGGGAAGCTTTCAGCAAATGGAAGTGACCTATTGACTTCCACACTACTCATTTCATCAAATGGAAGACTGGAGGCTTTGGGTTTTGATCTTCGCCCCCCCCCAAAAAGAAAAAGACTGGCGGTTTTCCCCACAGCCACCCAAGCCGAGACTTGGGCAAAAAACTTCTTGGGGATGGAACTCTTCATTTGGTGGCTTTGGGTGTGTTTCTATATTCGTTTGGTGGTTTTGGGTGTGTTTCTAGGAAACCCCACCAACAAGGGCTGGCGTTTTCAGCGGGTTTTGGACCGAGAAATCCCTCGGGGCCCCGACAAAAAACGCAAAAAACACGCCGGCGAAAAGGCCACGGAAGAAATCGGCGCCTGGAGTGCCTGGCGTAATTCAGATATTTGCCTCAGGTCGGGACCCGCGGGACCCGCAGAACTGGGGAACTTGGGGCTTTGGGGCTTTGGGGCTTTGGGGCTTTGGATTCCAATTAATTAATTTTCAAATTTATTTATTTATTTATTTATTTATACCGATTTTCATGTTTGATTTGTTTATTCTTTATTTAGTTATTTACTTCTTCTTTTTTTGGGGGGGGAGGATTCCATTTTTTTCGGGGGAGGGGGGGGGGGGGAGGATTCCAAGTTTTGCTCTGCCACATTTATGTGGAACCCACAAAAGGGGGTGCCGCTCCAGGAGTTTCCTCCATAGATGGCTTTTGAGGTTCTTGATTTGCAGGGTAAGTGGGGAAGCCAACAAAGAACGGGATTTAGAGGATGAACAATCATTGGATCTCACTTGCCGAAAGGAGCTGGAAACAAGGTGTGATCACCTGTTGGAGCCCTTGACTTAAGTGACCAACATGAGAAAATACAACAGGCTACAACGTGAGCATTGGGTAAGTATTTGAGCAGTCCCCCAAACCCATGATGTGGTTCTACTAACATGGTTATCATGCCCCCACTACTACTAAACCGTAAACCCTCACACGAAGATATATGTCCACCAAACATGCTTGAGGGTGTTCCAACTCTCGAATCTATGCTCATAGGCTCCGAAAATGTCTCCAGACTTAGGAACTTCGTTAAGATTTCCCTTCGACGTTTTCCAAAGGCTCGATGCTAGAGTGCTGACTCGGCGTGTGCAGCTGCCATGCCTCCCGGGGCCTCCCGCAGCTTTGCAAGCTCCATGGAAAAAGTTATGTCATGGTGGTCTCCCTGCTCTGTGCTTTACGAGCTCGGAGCAGGAAGGTTCTGCGTATATATGTACGTATATGTGTATACATATTTTAGTGTGTGTGTGTATGCAGTAACACCATGCGTACACATATGTTAGTTGTTTCATTTCAGCCCCAAACCTGAACATCTACCACACCTGAAACGCGAGTCACTGGGGAAAACAGTAAGTGGAGCAGCCAACACCCGGTGTTTGTCTCCCAACCTGCTTGTACTCAGTGCTATGTTTCTCGCATAGACGATCTGAGTAGGAGTTGATTGTAGTCACATCTGTTTAGTAGGATAATATGGAACATCGCCCGCTACCCCATTCCGGCAGAATGGAGTAGCATGCTGTGACTGAGTAGTGCTACAGAGGCTCATCGGGTGAAACACGACATACAGAAGCAGTCAACGAACCAATGCTGCTATGATTTGAAACCCGCGGTTTCAAGTCAGCACAGTGCAGAAACGTGTTAACAAGCATGATGACATGGCAAGCTGGGAAGAACAAACGGGCTGATTCTGGATTGTGCGCTCAGCTCATTCCGGCGACCGAAAGCGGGGCAAACACCTGATGCATGTGAAGGGATGGGAATGGGTCCGTGAGGATGTTGATGAACAAATCCTTGGGGGCCATGATCGCCAAGCATCAATGAATTCGCCGTGCAAAGGAAGGAAGGATTAATCCGCAGTATGGAAGCTGACTGCAGGTTGTGAAAGACCATTGGACGCCCCCGGTCCACTTCCACGATTCCATGGTTGCAAAGAGGGGCCCTCCAAAAAGCAAGCAAAAAAGCCAGCAGCCCACATTTGGCGCCTGAGAGCCAAACCAGCCAGCCATCCGATTCGAGCGGCGGAAGAGGTTTACCCGGAGGTGCTGCCGGATATGGAAGCCCATTTCCAAGACCTCGGACATGGAAACGAATGAAACGAAGAGACCAATTGGGGGTGTCTTTTTGTAGGGAACCCAATGGCTTCGCTTCTCCTGTTGGTTTCCGGTTTCCGCTTGTAAACCAACCATAAACGGGGTCACTTAAAAAAATACACGCAATTGTTGACTTGGCAACTCAAAGGCACACCAACAAAATGCTTTCTTTATGTCGATCCATTTGCTTCCATGAACTATCTTGCCAAGCGAAAGTCTGGCAATGCATTTTGGGTTATCCTGAATGATTTCTAACAGATGGGTTCCTTTCGAATATCACTCGCATTCTTGTCCGTGCAAGGGAGCGGAGCCCACTTGCTAGGACCTGTTTAGGGCCCACGGATTCATCGTGCGGGACCTGTCTTCGTTCACTCATCCATTTGCTGAAAGTTGAACTGCTCGTCACAAATGGTTGTGTCCCAAAATAGGGGAACCCCCCGAGCTTCCCCGAGCTGAGTGGTTTCCTTTTGGATCCCTTTAACCAACCCCTGAAACAAATCCGCCGACCCTCTGCCTCCCGTCCCAGCCTCCTGCAGAGGGGACCGGCGTGGGATGCAACTGGAAGTGATTGGAATCAATGATGGTCCCTGGGGGACACGCCCGAACCCACAAAAAGTGGATTTCCAGGACCGGTCCCGGGACCGGTCCCGGGACCGGCCCTGGGACCGGTCCTGGGACCGGTCCTGGGACTGGTGTTGGGACCCTGGTTCTGCTGTTTCAGATTGCTTGGTCAGCCAAAACCGGTCCTGGGACCGGTCCCAGGACCGGTCCCGGGACCAGTCCCGGGACCAGTCCTACTGGTCCTGGAGGACCGGGGTTTGCTCCTGGTCCCGGGACTGGTCCTGGGGCCGGACTGGTCCTGGGACCGGTCCTGGACTGGACCGCTTTCAGGACTGAAGCCGGTCCCGGGATGGAGTCCTGGTGTGACCGCTGGTGTCGGGTCCCACTTCGAACTGCTGTGGTGCCACCTCAAACCGCTCCAGACACCTTTCCAGGTCCCAGTCACCTGCGACCGGTTGAGGGGCACCGACGGCCTTGTTTCTAGGACCAGCTCAACGTGACTTGGGCACAAACCGGCCCGTGCGGTTATTGACGGACGGGCTGCCATCTGTTTGACTTTTCCGTTAATCCTTGTGGTAGTAGAGGATCCCTGGATCTATTCTGCAAAAGAGTCCAATACGTCGAGTCAAGCCGGGCCAGACTGGGACCAGCCTGTCCCGGTCCCTGCCGGCGACCGGTCCAGGGCAACTTCGGGAGGGCCAGTTTCCGGGCGACCCCGGGAGAGGCGACTGCTCCCGGGCCAACTCCAAGTGACTTGGGCGCAAGCCGGCCCAAGCGCTAATTAACGGACTAGCTGCCATATTTCTGACTTTTCCGTTAATCCTGGTTTGTGGTCGTAAAGGATCTTATAAGTGGTCCCTGGGTTTGCGGACGTGTTTCAGGACCGGTCCTTGTGACTTTTCCCTTAATGCGCCGAGGGTCGGCGGCAGCAGGCGGGAGCCTGGTTAATATGAAGGATCCACAAAAGTTCCAACAGCCAAATATGCGATAGGCAGGGAGTCATTGGTCAAAATAAAGGTTGTGCCAAAGTGCGTCAACCATTCCAGCTGCGAAGCGGATTCTGTTCATCATGGGCGTCACGTCTTTTTGTGCTACTTTGTTGGCGTTGAAGGAGAAAACCAAGAAACAAACCACAAAAAGAGACGAGGATCCCCGAGTTTCAGTCGAATTTCTCCTTTGACACCTCTCAAGCTTCCATTTGGCCAAAGGGCCGTCATCTCGAAGTGGTCAGCGGCCACCTGGCAAGGCTTAAAGGGGGGGTACCTCAGCTTTTTTGCCACATATGTTGATTCAGGGCGAAAGGTTCGGATTTTACCATTGTAAACAAAAAACACCACATGGCTGTGGGTCAAAAACAGGCATCCAAAATGGAACTTTGGCAAATGGAACCAAAGACTAAAACCTGCGGTCCAATTCCTGGTGGTTTAATTTTGACCCATACCCACATCTATGAACAACAAGCAGGAACGTAGCCGTGTCGAAACAATCTCTCAAACTGCCGGCTGAATTGGGGACTGAGCCTTCCCTCCTGCCAGGACAACTCCCCAAACAGGAGTTAGATGGGTGAAACTGAGAATGTATGGGACTCAAGCGTCGGCCATCTCAAGCCCAGGCATATCTGTGACTTTCTAGTGGCCGTATATTACTAGGTCCTCCAGTAGAGAGGTTAAAATAGGAGTACCCTTCTTCTGTAGTCTATTTTAGTAGGGGAACCCTCCCCCCAAAAAAGGGGTATAAGGGCACTACTGGGGGACCCAGTTCTAATAATAAGGGCCATGGATGGAAACCATTTAAGTGGCCCACCGTCCTTCCCAGCTTCCCTTGCTGCCAGGGCACAAGGATGATATTCGGCAGCACCCTCGGGCGACATGAACATGCACGGACCCCAAATCTTGGAACCTTGACGGAAAAAATATGGCAGTGTTTTTTTTGGCGGGACCCCCCAAAATGGTGGGTGTTGTTTTGGTGCTCCTTTCAACCAACCCAAAAACGTGTACCCTCACAAGAAAGACAGACCCATATTCAATTGTTTTAATTGGTCGATTCACTTTGGTTGCAAGTGAGCACTCGAGGAACCTGGCGCCACCCCCAAGGTCGCTTGCCGATGATTGCCGTCCGAGGCACGTGAGGAGCGCAGGTCAAGGGAAACTAGAATCAGACATGGAGTTCTAGTCACCTCAGATTTATCTTACAGCTGCCTCACCCTGTACAACCAGAATTGGAACTTGTTTTCTTGGTTGACCCGAGTTGGATCTATTTCAGAAGCCACCCAACAAAAAAGCAAGTTGGAGAGCGCAAGGCACCCGGCAACTTGGTTCAATTGAAAGGCTACCCCATCTTGCATGTGTCTTTGAAAGGGAGCCACCGGAAGAAAAAAACTGGAGCGAAAGTAACCTACAGGAGTTGATGCAGACGAGCGTGGCAGCGAGGCGTTTTGGGCCTAACCCTGCTTATGGCTCCCAGAAATTCTGGGAGCCATAAGCAGGGTTAGGCCCAAAACGCCTCGCTGCCACGCTCGTTTGCATCAACTCCTGTAGGTTACTTTCGCTCCAGTTTTTTTTTTCAACAACAAGCTTGGTTGTCGACACAAATATTGCTCAACTCTGCTCATAAGGGCTTTCCTCTTTGCTCGCTACATGCTTGAAGGATTGCCACCAGGAAATCATTGATGCAACTTCTAACTCCAACACCTGAAACACAAAATGGATTTCCAAGTAAAGGACCTACACCATAGCTTGGTACCCCGAATCGGTGAGCTCACATTACACAAATCGCTTGAAGGTTTGCAGCAGCTAATCAATCGAGGTTTTTGGGACTCTATTCCTCTCAGTTGTTCAGTGACCCTGGAAAAAAAGGGAACCCTTTTTGGGGAAGACAACATTTTTAGTGGGGAAGCCACCAAAAAAGGAAAAAGAGTGCCACTGAACAACTGAGTCTTAGGTCGGACACTACTTCCGCGATTGTTCAGGTTGGGGTCTCTGTCTCTCTCTCTCTTTTTCTCTCTCTCTCTCTCTCTCTGTCGCGCTATCCCGAAGGTCTGCCTGAGCAGAGCGCTGTCATTCTGACTATGCTCAACAAATGTATTCTGGGGTCATTCCAACTCATTGCCCGCTTTCCGAACCATCCATTTGCTTAAGTCCCGTGGAAGAAACAAAACATCCAGTAATGATAGATTCCCTCTGACACCAACTCCGGAACCGGAAAAACTAAAAAATGTTCATTTCAGCACATGGAACTGGGCTGCCCTCAGATCCCCCACTAAAAGTTTAACTTTTAGTGGTTTAAATTCGGAAACTACCACTAAACACTAAGCTGAAAGGCTAAGGGACCGGATGGCTGGGGAATCGCCAAGGGAAACCATTGCTCCAACCTCTGGGGACCGGGCCACGCCAGGCCCAGCAAGGCCGCGGTGAGACTGCGGCTGCCGGGCACCAACAGTCCTCGGGCGCTTGGATCGAGGTGCGGGAAGCCCGGGAAGTCCCATTTTTCTAGGCCCGGGAAGTCCCATTTTTCTAGGGGTTCATTCCGACCACCGTTCGAAAACAGCTGCACCCTTGCACTTGGGTTTCCATTTGGGGAAAGGTGAGACCATATTCTAGGGGTTTATTCCTTTTCCATTCTTCTCAACCATCGTTCTTTCCAAAAAACCGGATCCGTTTTCCCTGGGTTTCTGGAGGTTTTCTAGAAAGAAGGATCCCTGGAAAGAATGGGGAAGGTACCCCCTTGGCTTGGCGAGGCTTGGGGCCGGGAATTCCAATTTTTACCAGCCAGGGCTCAAATCCCAACACACTTCCCGAGTCCGAGTGGAGCCCAAGCAAGCCACCGAACTGTTTGTTTACCTCAAAGGCTTTCGTTACAGGAAAATATACAGGGAATGGCCCCAAAACACACTAAATAAGCTGTTTTCCTGTAGAATTTCCTGTAACCCAAGCCTTTGTTTACTACAATGGTCCAAACCCAAAAGTGACTAAAGTCCATGAGCTCAGTGAGTGAGCCAAGGAACAATCACCTGAAAAACTGAAGGACAGCGGGCGAACATGACATCGTATCTAGGCACAAGGGATGCCAACCGCACGGGCCGGCCACGGACCTGGCGAAATCAATTTGGACTCGAGGCGTCAAGTTGGCTTTCGCTGGCTTTCTGCGTCTGGGCAGGGGAGGACCAGCTCAATCCCGAACCCCGAGCGAGCCGATGCTGAGAGCCATGATTGACGGAACGAAACGGCTGGGTACTCAGGTCCGCATAATTTGTGGTCCATCCGGGTGGGTGGAGGTTTCTCAATGGCAAATGTAGCACCACGAAACTAAGGGCGTGTTTGTTCTCTTGTGTTTTGTTTTTCTCGGGAACCGCCCCGTGTAGTTGGCTTTAAAAGGATCCCCACAAAGCAACTGACAAATCCAGGCTAAGCGAAGCTTGACTTTGCAAGGCGCATGTGGTGAATAAGGTAGAAACCCCTTCTTGCAGCTAAACATCAAGGGAACCCTTGTAAACCCTTCGGTCAAAGGTGCCATCTGAATGTACACTACAAACCCATCGGCTTAAAAGAGCCATCAACCCCAATCTTTTTGGGGGGTTCTGGGGACAATATCAAGCGCTCCCGACTTGGGTGCAATTCTGAAAAGCGTTCCCAAACACCTTCAGATCAGTGGCTGTCCAGGGTCGACTCATCCTTCACCTCAAGGCCACAAGGCCCCACATTTCGAGATGTTTTCGGGGTCAAGGGGGGACAAAGAGCAAGGACAGTGGAAAGCCTTCAGCCCATTGACCTTTCGAGGGATGAAGATCATAGACTCATCCTGAGGCCACGATATATCACTACATACTTTCCTCCATTTGCTTTAAGACCCTGCCAAAAACACATATGTCCAGTAGTCAAGCATTCCCTTTAAAGGCCACAGTGGAAAATCTGAAAACGAAAAACTGATAAGCAAATGGAAGTATATCCTGACCCGCTGCGTGCTCGTTTGTGTATTTCACCCCATGCCACCCAGCATACTGGATCCCCTCGTGCGAGTTGATTGGTCGATGAAACCGACGCATGCTCATGTCAAACCGTTGTCAAGGGCAGGGCTCCCCCAATCCCAATAGGGGCTAATAGTGACGCGTGAGGCTAGCAGTGGGGAATGGGAGTTCAAAGTATTGAGTGCCTTTTCTGGGGGGTCCCCTGTTTGGGGGAGGCCTAGCAACTGTTTGATAAGAACGCGTAGAGATGTAGCATGCGGTTGTTGATAGACCCATCAGAGATATGTCATAGAGGCTGCAAAGAACCTTGCCCATGGTCATGCACAAGGCGAGGGTCAGGATGTACAAGGGTCATCCCACAGCAGCACTGAAAACCCGCATGGCTTCAAAGGATGATGTTGGCCTTACTTCTAGGATTCTAGGGGTAACTTCCCCATTCATTCCAGGGATCCTTCTTTCTAGAAACCCTCGGAAACGCAGGGGAAACGGATCCGGTTTTTGGAAAGAACGATGGTTGAAAAGAATGGGGAATCAACCCCTAGATTACTAGCCCCTATTGCAGCAGGTAGCAGAACCACCTGGTTTTCGGTGGCTGCACAAAAACGCCCAATGCCAAGCCAAGCTACGTTGAGGCACACATCCACGAGGTACACCTGTCCAAACCCAGCGCACCGAAGCCGACCCTCCAGCAAAGGGCATACCCCGAATTATTCGAATTATTGGAGGAGGCTTCGAAATGTGCGGTTTTGGGCGAACACGAAGTAGCCCAGGGAATCAAAGAGGTACACGTGGTTCACGAAGTACCAAAAGAACCCAGTCCCAAAGCACAATGTAGAGGGTGCCGGTGACCAGATTGTGGGAGTGACAGTTAATGAAGATCAAGTTTGGGGAGGTTAGGAAACTGGTAGAAGAAGGTAAAGACAAGGGTCGGGCCCGGGAGCACCTCGGCGACCTGCCGCCCACCTCCTAGTGCCGAACAGCTGGAACACCACGGACCTTTTCCGCGATGGCGCAGCCAATCGCCGCACTATGGCGAACGCACGCAAATCCAAGGAAGTCCCGACGGGGGATCCAAATCTTGAGCCAAACGGCCATTCGGCCGTTTTGCCACATGATGAAACAACACGTGAACAAAACACACCCCCCTCATCCGATATCTGGACGAGAGAAAGGATGCGAGACAGTTGAGTTCACGACGAAAGGGACCAACCAAAAATGCCGGTGTCAACTCAGAGGCGAGCCAAACGGCATCACCTGGGCCCCAGTTAAAATCCCGCCACCACCCCGAATTATCGGGGCGACAGGATTATTTGACGAGTGGACCACATGAGTGAACAAAGACATATTGGAGGAACCAGACGAAGATTCCTCTCGTGCCGTTCATGAGTTGTCATGGGACGATGCCATGCGGAGGGGGATCCTATCTGGATCACCGCGCCTCACTGCACGCCGTGGAACGGTTGGAAGAGGAGTCGAGTTGGGAGGAAAGTAGAAACGGAAGCTCCGAAATTGGTGTGAAAATATCCGGCTATGGCCGGTCCGGCACTTCTAGTGCGGTCACAGCCTCACACAGGATCGCCAGGGGAACCATCTCCGGCGCGCACGGCAGCGGTGCGGGAGGGACACGAGCAACGCCGGATCAGCGGTACAGGGCAATGGAGATCATCACCCCCAGCAGCGCTGCACGGGCGAGAGGAGGACCGGCGCGGTCGCGTTTGTCGGCGACACACGTACTATCCTCGCCCTTCTAAGGCGGATGCTGATTGCGGCACCCGTCTACCGGCGGATGCTGATTGCGGCACCCGTCTACCACCCTGAACCAGGCTCTTCCCGGTCCCTGGGCGCGTCGTCTCTTCGGCGTCCACCACGGTCACCTCGATCACCTCCTCCATCCCGACGGCGATCCTCACCACCACCCCTATTGTGGTCGCCAGCCGGAGGTCGGCGAGGCGGAGGGGGATCTGATTGGTGACGTCGGTCATCCCTGCGCCGGTCCCGGTGGCGATCGCGACGGTCATCGCCCGGGTCATCACGCCCGCGGCGCTCATCTCGCCCCGGGCCGCGCCTCTCGGAGGTCTCCTCATGACGTGGAGGAGGTCGGCGATCATCGCGTCGGCCTCCGCGGGTGTCCCTGCCACGATCATCCCTTTGTCGGGGCGGGCCGGGATCCTCACGTCCTCCTTTGCCAGGTCGATGTTTTCCTCGACCCTTCCCCTCACCCTTAGGACCACGACGATCCTCGCGGGCCCCAAGCGCGGTCCTTGACCGATCGTCATCTCGTCGGGGCCGCGACTCATCTGCCGCACGAGTGGTCCGAGGCACACCCGGGGGAAGCTCCCACTCGTCGTTGTCGTCATCACGCGGGTCATAGCCGCGATGGCCGCCCAAGGAACCGGTGGCATCCCGTGGTGGGGACGCAGGAGTTCCGGGACCGCCCGATCGAAGACGAACTCGGGGAGTCGCGTCCTCGCCGGTAAAAGGATCCTTCTGGGTGTAGAAACCCTTAGTCCTGCCCCTTCTCTCCCCACCTTCCACACCGCTTCTCGCGGGGACCGGGGATGGGCGGGCAGGCTGGGCCATGCTCTTAGAGCTGGGTTGCCCGCTAGGCGGGACCTGAACGCCCCCCTGCCCTTTTTCGGGCGCGGGGACCCGACCGCGAGATGTCCTTCTGGCCTTGGGTTGGTCGGACTCACCCTCCAGCTCGGACTCGGTGTCAGGGACACGAGTATTGATGGCCATGTCCTCTTCCTCAAACGGATCCCCAGTCGTAGTAACGCCTGCCGCAATGGGAGCGGGAGGAGGAGGAGGAGGAGTTGGCACAGCATCGCCAGAAATGACGCCTGCATGCGGCACCACGGGAGTCTCCGGTTCTACCGGGACAGGCGGCGCAGGAGGAGCCGGGGGCGGTGGCGGAGGGGGAGGGATCTCCTCCTCGTCGTCGCCCATGGGCTCGTCAAGGTCGTCAGGCTTCTCGTCATCTTCGTGCGAAGAACCATCCGATCCCAGCTCATCCTCCGCTGATCCAGCAAAGTCGGGCTCGTCTTCGTCCTTCACGCCGGGGCCTGGTGTAAGGCGAATTCCGGGTCGATGGCGATCGCGGGGTCGGAAGCGGTATTTCCTTGGTACAGGGTCGGATAGCTCCTGTTTGATGTCATCCTGGGTTTGAGGACGGTCGGCCAAGCAGGTGTCGTAGGCAACGGTGGACGTCCGGTAGATCAGATCGTCCATACTGCTGAGGTCGTTGAGGGTGTAGACATACCCCTTCTTAATGCCTTCCCGTATCGTGTCCATAGCCCGTTTGAGGCGCGCGGCAGGATCGAAACCGGCCCTTCTCCGCATGGCCTGCAATATCCCGCAGTGCTGTGCGAGCAGCTTCACCTGGAACTTGAATCCCTCCCCGGACACATCGTTGGGGAGTATCGGAGAAAGGTGTCCTGTTCTCAGCCCAATGATATGGGCCTCAAGAATGTAGTAGGACGTGTAGAAACCGCACCGGTTGGCATTGAAGTTTGCGGTGGTTAGGCGTCTGCCCCACTCAGCCGCATATCCCTCATATTCTTCGAAGAATTCGGGGACGGAGCTCCCGTTGAAGGCCAGACCCCTTACCAGGATCGCCTTTGCTACCCACTCTTCCACGTTGCTGTCGACCGTGTCACGGTATTTGCCGTCAAGGATTTCGTCTCGGAGCGAGTCGTGAAGTTTCCGGAAAATGCCATCCACGTCCTCTTTGTCAAGGTACTTAGGAGGCCGCATCCCAGACATCAACAAGGACCGGGCATCGACGGCGGGACTCTGCGAGTAGAGGGCCATTCCGATGGCGTTGGCGTCTGAGTTGTTCCACAGAGCGGGGACGAAGCCCTCGTATTTTGCCAGCCAGGGAGGAACCAACCCGTCAGTGCTCGCTATCGTGCGAGGGCCGCCGTTCGTGTCTCCGGTGGGCAGGACGCCATCGTAGAAGATGGGAAGGTAGCAGGCGGTGCACAGGTGAGCGCCGACCGGATGGGCCGTCATGCACCTATGGCATGGAACGGACACCACCTCGCGGACATGTTCCGTCTTGGTGATCTGATGGTACTTCTCCATCTCGTCCCGACACTTCCTCGGGTTATCACTCAAGGAGTTGAGGAAGTTGGGCGGATAGCACCAAGGCCTCAGGTAAATGATGGAGCAGTCCTCCTTGAAGTAGACGCATCTCCAGTACCCGATCGCGATGTTCTCGCGCGACGCAAAGGTACCCTGACGAGTAATATGCATGCCCCCATTTTCCATGGAGAAGAAACGTGCATCGATAGCCATGACCACATATCGGGGATCGCTCCTTTGGCGTCGACCCGAGGTGTGCAGCTCCGTCACGTTGCTGTCGGTGATGCGGTCGACAGTGTCGTTGGGGCACTCTCCGTGATCGCGGAGGGATTGATACTCATCCGGCCGAGAGGGAAGGAGCTCGATCAGAGCTCGCCCACCCCGAATGATCGCCCCACGTTCTACGTAGAGCCGATACATTCGGAGAGGCACCACCTTGTAGAGCGTCTTAGGAACCACCTTGGAGGTGATAGGAAGACAAACAGGGCTCTCGTAGAGCATGTATTGGTATCGTTCACGAAATGCCCGGTAATCAGTGTCGGATCCGATTTCAAGCGACCTTACCGCCGCTATGCGGGCGGAACCAGGCAGCAACCGACGCTCCTTGTCACGAATGACGGTGATGATGATCTCGAACATTCCCACCCCATCCTCGAGAAAGGAAGACAGGAGGTATGAAGAAAAGGCATCCTCGGACTCGACGCTGGTCCCGAAGTAGTGGCTCAGGAACCTCTTCAGTTGTATCACCGAAGTAACGTTCCCTTGCCCGCTGGCAGACGAGGCCTCCAACTCTGGGTCCTTGACTGCACCTGCATTTCCAGGCTGCACAGCTGTTCCACGGAGCGCGTCGCGTATTTCCGCGCATGCTCTCCTGTAGTAGTGCGAAGAGGCGCCCGTTCTATCCTTCACCTTCTGACGGATCTCGTCGGCGAAGTAGTCCAGAAGCTCCTCGGGTGCGGGAACAATGGCCTGGATCATCAGGTCAGGATCACTCTTGGTCGGGAGGATAGGCCCTGCCCTGGATCTCACTCCCATCTCCAGGAATCGGGCAATGTCCCCGATTTTGGCGCACAGAGTAGCGATCGTGTTTCCGATCCTGGGGGCGATATCTTCGCCTCTCCTGGCGCCGAGGATGACCACGTTTTTCTTGATGGACTCCTCCTTCAGCCTCTCGAGGTTCCTCCGGGTGCCATCAGTGCCTTTCACCGCGCTGAGGCGGAGAACCGCAGGCTCCGGTTTGTCCGGTCGCACGAGCTGGCCGTCAGGAATCTGGTCGAAAATGCGCGAGGCGGACTTCACTGCTGGGACATTCCTGTACTGATCCGGCACGCTGTAAAAGGCGTAGGCGAGAGTGTCATGCGAGGATGTCTCCCAGTACGTGTACTCCTCGGAATCACGCGGGTCACCGACGACGCGACTCACGGTCCTCAGCTCGGCCAGAGCGCGCTCCGCCTCGAACTGCGATCCGATGGTCGTGGGCAGCATGGCCCTCTCCTCCTCCGTGCAGTCGACGTATATGAACTGACCGGTGTGCAGATCTCTGGGCGCGGCGAAGGGCCCCGCAGTGTCA